GGCTGAGCAAAGCAGGCTACATGATTGTTTTACACTGTGTCGGATGTAGCTTTTTTAAAATCATGAGAAAAGTAGCTCACCTTTCTTTATAATGTTTCCATTTAGGCACTACATTTGATTGCTTGGTAAGATGTAATTAAAAAGTTTTCTAAAATTTACTTTTTTTTTAAAAGTGATTGTTGTTGTTGTTATATGCCGTTGAGTCGGACCCGACTCATAGTGACCCCTCCCTGGGTTTCTGAGGTGGTATCACTACGGAAGTAGATTGCCCAACCTTCCTTCCCAGGAGTGGCTGGTGGGTTTGAACCGCCAGCCTTCTGGTTAGCAGTCAAGTGCCTTAGGCACTACGCTACCAGAGCTCCCATTTAAAGTGTAGGTATCTAGAAAAAAATGAATAGTTTGTAATAGCTTTCTGTTGATTATCATATTATCTGTTCATGCCCGGAGTAATGGAACAACAACATTAAAAATTACATAACACTTCATAATTTTCTAAGTCCTTATCTATCTGTTATGTTGCAAAACTTTTGGTGTTATTGAATCAAATAACTGAAATAATCATAATTATTTAGTAAATCAGCATGATTTAAGATCATATCAATCTTTCAACTAAAAAAATAGCTATTCTTAATATGATTTTGATTCTCAATATGTTTTTGCTTAAGAGTTTTAATTCCTGGTCTTAGTATCCTGTAAGATTCTAAGTTGAATTCCAGATTCTTGTAATCACAATTCTCATATATTGCCAACTGCACTTAAAGGAGAAATAGGCTTTCATATTCATAAAGATGCTTTCAGATAACACAAATCCATTAATATTATAATATTTACTTTTATTTATGAAATATTTACATTTTCTGGACATGAATACAAGTTTATGGTAAACCATTTAAAAATTAAAGAAGAGTATAAATTAGAAAATTAAATTCACCATAGTATAGCTGTCTTGAAATAGCCATTGTCAATAATGTTTTAATTAACTTCACTTGGATTTAACAGAAGAATTAAACAGACACTAGAGAATTGTTAAACTTCAGATAAATATTTCTTACAAAAAAAGCAGCACTGACTCTTAAATAATAATCCCCAAATTAAAATCTAGTAAAATGTTTTCCAAATATAGGTCTTAATGAGATTTAACTTCAAATTTGCTTAGCTAGAACACATTCAGCTTCGCATTAAAAGAAGAAAGCATTAACGTTGCTTAGTATACATTTTAATTACTTTAAAATTGTTGAACCAAAAATCATGTTTAAAAACTAACTAAATATATTCTTACTATAAATCTCATAAAGTGAGGATGACTTAAGGCACCTACTGATGAAGGTTGAAGAATACAGTCTCAAGTATGGATTACGTCTCAATATAAAGAAAACAAAAATCCTCACAACTGGACCAATGAGCAGCATCACAATAA